CGACACAATAAATAACATGTACACACACACACACACACACATATATATATATATATATATATGCATTCGGTTGCGTCGCACCTATGGCAATGGCTATATGCCCATTTATGGGATTCATGCATGATGTGTGAACTACTACACTACATTAGATAGAAGCAGAATGAACGGGCCACGAGGAAGCGACTCGTTCATACATCTTAATAAAATTGCGACCAACTCATGCCTTGCCCAAACTTATTCGCAGCTATTCGTAAGCCTTTCTCTATCGTATAGATACGACAAGTGTCGTATACCTTCTCCCAACTGCATTGCCAGTGGACGTGGTGAGCTATTCGAGCACTCACCTTTCACCTGCGCTTCTCTCAAGACATAGACGTCTCGATCTGCGTGGGTGATACTATCGGTAGTCTTAGTCTGAGTGCGGGTTGCCTTGAGGCTGTTGTGCATTCGATTGGAAATGAATTAGCACAAACGCTGGACGATGGTATGGTCAACTGGAAGATAAAGCAAGGCTGGAAATTGGCTTCAGCTATAATCGATACGCCACCTATGACAAACAAAATGAACACCTTTTAATACAAAGCGTAACCAAAGAGTTCGAATAGCCGGTCGCAAGCAGTGGTATATGCACGCGGGTATATTTGTAAGATATATATGCAGTAGGTATATTTGCAAGATATATACATGTAGGTATATTTGTAAGATATATATGCATGTAGGTATATTTGTAAGATACACATGCTTGTAGGTATATTTTTAGTTGGCTCGCCATACTCGTGCCCATTTTCAGGTGGAGACAGAATATGTCAGAACAACTTGGACGTAAATCGCACCAGGCCTGGAGTACAGTCGATAGTTGATATATGAGAACGAAAGTGAGATATTGTATATAACAAAAGGGGCTAGGGAAACCAGTAGTCCTCCGCTTCGACAGAGGTCGGTTCAGCAAATCACGGGTTATAGATTCTCGGTAAGTGTTCGTGATTCTCATGCCAACTTATACTATGATATGCCCACATCCCAGTGTTTATGTACGTACAACGCTCTTGCAAACACATGCATATACGCACACATGCATGTACGCATTTTTATTTGGATTGTACCAATATATCACCCGTGTCAGAGAGAATGGTAAACACCATCCGAAAAAATCAATCACAACGTACGTGAAAATAGGCGGATGATTCCACATGGCTGTTTTTTTCTCAAGCACAAGTTGCTATACAT